TAAATATATAAGATAAAATTATAAATTTTTTCGGGTCAGGTCGGGTATTTTTCACCTTTAATTTGAACCCAACCCGACCCGAACATAGCCTTAAAAAATCTAACCTGACCCGATCCAAACCCAAAATTATTTTTTAAAAAATATGACCCGATTGAGTCGAGTCGGAACCCGACGAATCAGCTCCCTTGCCCATCGCTAGTTCTAGTTGATGGATTTTGATAAATTTTATAACGTTATAATGATCATCTTATAACAATTCCTTAAATTTAATGTTATTATAACTTTTAAAAAAAATTAAAACTACAATAATAATTTTAATATGATTTAATAACCTCTAATATACTTTATCCTCTCTTGTATTTATTTTAATATGCTCGGATCACATGAGCACAACGAGAAAAGGACGAACAATTATAAATAAATATTGTGTTTTTCATATAAATTATTATTATCAGAGCCGTCAGCTCAATTGCAATGTGCAAAGTGTTCCCAAATCATTCGACTTAATTCTATATATATTATTTTCAAATAAAATAAAATAACTCTATATATATTGTCAATATTCCTCAAACAAGTGATCATATTTATACTAATTTATGTTCTTGGTTGATAGCAAGTCACACCCACCAAAATTAATAATTAAATTAAGAAATATATTTACTTTTTTTAGATAAAAAATAATTGTGACACCCCAGACACACAATATATCATATCTATTACTATATGTCTTGTTAAAATTGTCACACGTTAATTTTTATCAATTATAATTTTTTATTATTTAAAATTTATTATTGATAAAAAATATAAAATTATTTTAAAATTTTTAAATCTAGTAGTTTCTAAATATATATTTTATAAAATTTATATCACATCTATTACTCTATGTCTTGTTAAAAGGTTATTTGATTTTTATTTTCGTTCTTACAATTTTTTTTTATTTTTTACGTTTTAAATTTAAATTATTATTTTATTTAAACACAACATTAATTATAATTTATACCACATCATATTAGAACTATATTTTTTTAACAATGGACGTAATTAGCGTATATTGATAGTTTGAGAATGAATTTAGAACATTTAAAAAATTTAAGATGAATTTAAAATAAGAGTCATAATTTAAAATGAAATTAAAATTTAAAAAAGTAGAAATTAATTTCAAATATGTGGCGCAATTAACTCACATTATATATACACGAAGGTCAGCTGCATCCTGGAATAGTTAAACACGTGGGAATATATTATTATTTTAAAGAAAATAAATATATTAAACTAAATATATATATTATATTTATCTCCTAAACCACCGACGACCAAAATGGAAGGTTCAATTGTGAGAGTATTGAAATGAATACGACAGTAGATTGAGTAACAGCTTAGCTTGTAGCTACCCCCTACCGTATCAGATCCGTCGGTTATATAGTATACGTCTACATCATGTATCTCTTTTTTCTCTCTCTCTCTCTCTCTATATATATATATATATATATATATGAAAAATTCTACGGCGCTCGACGAGCAGCGATGAATACCACTAACGACGAACACCATTAATTTAATTTATAAAAATTTAAATTTTAAAGGACTTAACGTATAATTATAAATTAGTTAAAATTTTAAACATAAATTATTTAAAATAAAGGGCAAACTATACCGGTGACTACCTAACTATTGCCGCTTTTCATTTTTGACAAAATATTTTTGAAATTTTGTCAATCATGTCACTCAACTATTTAAATACATTCAATTAAGCCACATGTCGTTAATATTTAACGGAGAAACTGATGTGACAGTTAAAATATTTGGCATAATTACACATGTAGTTATTGTTACTTATATATCCTATCTGTCGGAACCGTCTTTCGGTTGGGCCCCGAACTTGGGCTTCGACTTGAAAAATGGGTTGGATTCGCCACCGACCACTTTAATACGAATTTAGGTATGTCGGACACCATCTTACCTGATCTGCGTTGTACCAGAAACGTGTCGGGTTCGGGAGTCGGTTACGATCAAGGAAGGATTAGCACCCTTGAACCTCCCTTTCGGTACCAATTAATTTTTCGGTTATCTTTAATTGCGAAAATTAAAAATTAAAATTAAAATTAAAATTATTCGATTTGAAAAGCTTAACTTTGATTGACTGAAGTTTCTAAAAAGCAATCGAAATGTTAGACAAAAGATAATAAATAAATGTTAAATAATTAAAAGAAAAGGGAAAAGAAAAATTAAAAAAAAATGTTAAATAAATGAAAAACGTTAACCCAAAAAATAGAAAAGAAGGAATTGTTAGTGACTGAAATAAAATACGCCTGAAATTTGAAGTCAGAATTAAAAATAATAAAAACTAATATCAATGACTACAACGTAAGCATTACAGGTTCCAGGGAGCGGATACATAGTTTACCCATGGACGAAATTGCGCAGAAAGTCCCTGAGCAAAACGACGCCATTTTACGCGCATTATATAAGGGGTATTTTAGGCCGAAATCGGCGACTCACCCCATTTGCAAACTTTGCTCCATCTCTCTAAAAGAGAGAACTCTCATTCTCTCTGGCTTCTCTCTAGGGCCATCCCACCGATGGGAAGCTGACCACTTGCTGCCGCAAAAAAACTAAAACCCCTCAAAATACTCCTCTCCACCCCCGGAGCCCGGATCTAACCACCAAACAACGAACTAGGCCCTAGATCGGAGTAGATCTACACAAATGTAATTGGCTTTTCACCTTCGCCGACGAAAGCTCCTCGCCTTCCCGACGCAACCACAGACGAAAGCCTTCGGCTGTGACGATATCCTTCAAAAACTTGAGTGTTCTTTGATCTCTTGCTTGGTTTTTGTATTTTTTGTAATGTTTTTGTTTCGATGGTTTCGTGGTTTCGATGATTCGGTTTGATGATGGTGTTTTGGCTCTTGGTTGTGTTCTCTGGTTTTTGATCTGTGTTGGTCGATCTTGGTACCGTTGATGGTACTGTCGTGGTGGTTTTACCTCTCGATGATGTTGTGGTTGTGCCTTGTTGAGGCTTTGGTGGTTGTTTCCTGTGTAGATCGTGGTTGATGGTCTTCTGTTTACTCTCGTGGTTAAGATGGCCCCCCTCCCGTGGGTACTGTTTCGACTGGTATTTATATTGCCCGTTGGGAGGCTGTTTCCGGTGATTTCTGGGACGATCCCGGATATTTCGAGGTCATGGGTTCGTGGTTGACCGGCCATCCCGGGATAGGTCAGTCCCGGGATCCCGGCCGACCGTTTCGGTGTTGACTGTTGGCCATGCGTGTCCCCTTGACTCCCCCATGCGACGCATTGACTGCATCATTTTTAAGGTTCCAAACCCTAACGCTTACTGGGCTGATTCAGGCCTTCCAAACCGAACTGAGACTTATTGCACTGGATCTGGACCAAAAAAAAAATCGATTAAATGAAATGAAATGAATAAAATGAAATGAAAATAATAATATAATATAAACTATATAATATATATATTTTAAAAATATTTTTTAAAATTATATATTATATTCTTAAAAAAATTACAAAACTATATATTATATAGTTTTCAAAAATGATTTAAAAATATTATATAAGATTTCAAAAAATGTTTTCAAAACTATATATTATATATATTTTTTCAAAATGATTTCAAAACTATATACTATACAATTTTCAAAATGTTTTAAAACTTATATATTGTACATAAGTTTTCAAAAACGTTTCAAAAAATTATATATTTCAAAAAAAATATTTTTTTGAAAACTATATATTATATTTTTCAAAAACACTTTCAAAAATTATACTATATTACTATAATAATAAAAATAAATAAATAAAAACCCAAATTCGGACGAAAATAAGTGTTTACACTATCAATTTGGTCTTAATTTTAATAAATTAAAATAAATTTAACCTTAAAATCTTTGATTTTAAAAGATTTTAAAAGTTTTGCCATATTCTATATTTATAACAAAACAAAAATTTTACTATAAATTCCATTCATGGTTCTCAGAAGCATCCCGTCAATGGTACCATAACCTCTTTTGGTTTCAAGGAAAATATAGTTGATTAGCCCATGCATATAAAGTTCGATGGACAAAATTTTTATCCTACTACTATTTGTAAATGACATTCTACTAGAAAAAAAAGTGATTAGTCTAACCTGTAAAACTAAGAAATTTTTATCCAGTAAATTTATAATGGAAAAAGTGGCATATTTTTCTCACGTTTGACACATTATTCCTTTAAAATTTTAAAAATTCATATCCTACCATAAAATTTTATGTCCATCTTTAATATAAGTTTATACTGATAAGATTCTTGGTGGACTTAGCATGAAAAATTTTGCACTAAGAGATTGACCTATATCAAAAGGTTTGTTATATCATAAATTAATTGATTGAGTTATTCATTTTTTAGAAAAAAGGTTTTGTTATAAATTTTATTTTGTTATAAATATAGAATATGTTGTAACTTTTAAAATTAAAATAAAAAGTTGAATTTTGGGTCATTATACATGGCATCATTTGATTTGAAGGTTAAGCTTATTTTAATTTATTAAAATTAAGACCAAATTGATAGAATATATAAGTAACAATGACCAAATGTGTAATTATACTAAATATTTTAAATGTCACATTATCTTCTCCGTTAAATATTAACAGAAAGTGGCTTAATTGAATGCATTTAAATAGTTGAATGACCTGATTGATAAAATTTCAAAAATATTACTCAAAATGAAAAGAGGCAATAGTTAGGTGGTCACATGTATAGTTTGCCCTTTATTTTAAATAATTTATGTTTAAATTTTTAACTAATTTATAATTATACGTTGAGTACTTTAAAATTTAAATTTTTATAAATTAAATTAATAGTGTTCGTCGTTAGTGGTATTCATCGCTGCTCGTCGAGCATAAAAGAATTATATATATATAAATATGTGGTGTAATACAACTATGGGTACAGCAAGAAAATCTTCATGGAAGAATAACATTTAATTAAACATGAAAGCTCTCTTTTTATACGTACATTAAATCGCTGTTCATATTGAAATCGCTACAGATATCATCCCCAGACAAAGAACCAATGAATTCCGAGCTGAACATTTCATTTAGCGATGATGCCTCACTGCCGAATGCTCCTCCGCTTAATAGATACGCGTTCACGAAAGGATCCTGTAAGTTTGAACCCGAACCGTGGTTAACTCCGTCGTAGGCGGCAGCCGGCTCACTCGAATCCGCAAAGCCCCCGACAATATTTTGATCGAGCGATAGCCACTCCGCGAATAAAAGCGGAATTGGTTTGTAGGTTGGTGGCGATTCGTCGGAGTGATTTTGAGGAGACGAGTTGGATACTTTGTTTTCCGAGGTTGAGGTACTGGTGCATCGGCTCCTGGTGGGCCGGGAACCCGATTCTTCAGCTTTTCTTTTCTTCAAAAATGAATGCCAGTGGTTCTTGATCTCGTTGTCTGTTCTTCCGGGCAAATGTTGAGCAATTTGGGACCACCTAGTCAAATACAAAACAGGTTAAATGGCTGGTTTTATATAAATTTCAACACGTTCAAGTGAATACAGTATTAAAGTACATGTGGAAGTAGATTGAACAATGTTCTTGCTTACCTGTTGCCTATCAAACGATGAAGGGTGAGGATTCTCTCCTCCTCTAGCGGCGTAAACATCCCTCGCTTTAACCCCGGTCTCAAGTAGTTTAGCCACCTTAATCTGCAGCTCTTTCCGGTCCGTTGCAATCCTAAAAAAGCAAAATTACACTATGTTTATTATCAAATATCAATATATTAATATATGTGTGTGTGTGTAAGAAAGAAATCATTCTTTAAAATATATTTGAGAAAAAGAAACGAGGAAAGAGCAATGAAGAAATGACCTGCATTGATGGGAACGGAGCTCCAGAAACCATGGCCATGTTTGAGGACATAGTTTCTGAGCTTTACGTCTTCTTCAGGAGACCATAAGCACCTCCTGTGCTTGTTCTCAGATAATTTGCGCCCCATTTTTCAGACCGAGAACAAGTAGTGCCTGTCCTGTGTTATAGCTGACACAAGTTGGCTTATTGGGACACAAGGACCAAAGGCTTCGAAAGCAATAAATAGCTGACCCCAAAAGGAGAATTAGGTGAAGTACAAAGTTAAGATTAATTATATGTTTACTATTTTTTAAGGATAAATTAAAAATCTGATAACTAAACTTCACCCTCTCTCTTATTTTACTCACTGTACTTTAAATCTTTTCAATTTCCTCACCAAAATTAATACATTGAGTTTTTTTGTCACTCGGCCGTTAAATAATTAACGGCGTTAAAATGGGTTGTTATAAAGATGTAAAACAACGTCGTTTTAGTGAAAATTTTATTTTTTAAAACGACTTTGTTTTTAACGTCGTTAACTATTTAACGACAGAGTGAAAAAATATGAGAGAAGATAAATTTCAGTGATAAAAAAAAACTCAATGTATTAAGTTTAATGAGTAAATTGAAAACTTTTTAAGTTGAGCAAAATAAGAGAGAGGGTAAAGTTCAATGATTATATTTGTAATTTACTCTTTTTTTAAAAGGAAATGTATAATTAAATACTAATATAACTAGGTTTATTTAGTGAACACATAACTTCATTAATCAAAATAAGACAATAACCTAATGAGTGGACAATAGGTGGATCAACTAAAACCTGAGGTAACAAGCTCACCTCATACCTTTGATCTTATTCTTCATGATTCTCTTCAATAAAACTTTCATTTATATTCAAAGTAAAGAACTAAGAAAAGTGTGCTCGCCAACAAATGAATGTCTTATTTACGCACCCTTAAGTTCAACGAAACTTGAAATTAAATTCAGTGATCCAAAATATAAATTAACCTTTCATTATGAATAAATCGTATAGAAATTTCCAACCTAATTATTTATTTATATAAATTCCGACACATTAATAATTTACTTATATAGAAATTAATTTAGAGTTAATGCAATCTTATTGACTTTGTGATACCTACTACCTAACATACAAGGTCTTTGATTAAGGGGAAAACGGAACTTATATGTCTTAGAGTTGTTTGGGATATTCTTAATGACTTTTTGATACAAATTTATGGTATATGTCTCCATCTTATGGGATGATATAAATTATAAAAGAAAAGCTACACTTAACATGCCAAATTATTATAATTGAATTGAAAGTTTAATGATTGTAGTACACATTTTAACAATTTGATGATCAAAATATAAGTACTCTGAAAGTTAGGGACTACCAATGTAGTTTACCTTAATTAAAACAATAATTATCAACGACTTTTGTATTATATTTTAAGTATTTCTATTAAATTATAATTCTCATAATTATGAAATGGTTGTCCCTTGTTCCTATATGTAATGGGGTAAGGGGGAGGTAAGATAGTAGGCTGTCCCCAACACTAAATTGAGAGCAGCTTCCGTAGAAGACCTCCAAATTATGAAATGCCCTCCATGGGACACGATCCCACGACCTCAAAGTTAAGAACCTTGTACTCTACCAACTGAGCTGGATGGTCATCTCATGCTTATACCAAATAATTGCCTAAAATAATTTGTGAATAATGTGACATCACGTGTATAATGTCACGGGACATTAAATAATTATATGGTTGAGTTAGAATATTTATACAACTTGATAATAATTTTTTTATAGAAATACAAAACGTGGTTCATATAATATTTGGACATTTATCATTGGATGTTTTAAATTTTTTTCTTAATGATTTATATAGGGACAACGTACAATTTTATTTAGAAAATGAAATAAGAAGTTGTATTAGAAATTTAAGGGTATAAAACTAAACTATTAATAAAAATATAAATAAAATTTACGGGTATTAGAAATTTTATTTTCAGGTATTTTTAGACATAGAAAACCAAATTTCTGAATAATAAAAAATGATTTATATCTCGATAAAATAAATTAAGTATCCAAAATAATTAAGTTAGATCACAAGCATTTGAATCGATTTATTTATTTATTTATTTTACAGTTCATATAATTTAAAAAATTCAGACATGGAAGCAATATTTTCCTACCCAAAGATCACAACCGTGCTTTGCGAATCTCGTATATAAAAAAATTCTAATACATATAATTTAAAATTAAATAAAAATATTAAATAAACTCTTCCGTTGATATTAGTGTTAATTAGTATTCCTACAACAACAACAACAACAACAAAACTCTATTCTCATATGCAATGAGGTAAGGAGAGGTAGGGTAGTAGGCTGCTCCCAACACATGATAATCTCAATTATCGTCTCTTCATAAATACATATTTTATTAAAAACTATGAAAATTTTAATAAAAAAAAGTCTCTAATTTTATTTTTTTATTTAATCAAATATTTAATAATTAAAACAATATAAAAGGATTGAGGTTTCTTAAATAACAAGTAACTTGATTTCCAAGTTTAGTCTTCGCGTGTGTGTGTATAAAATAGGGATTTTCTCTTCTCATAGTCGGTGAAAGTACCACAAGCTAAGAGAAACCCGATGGAAGTACCACAATCTAAGATGAACCCTATCAAAAGAAGAAGAATCGATTCATCGCCATTAACATCAAGCTTCTTTGACCTAGTTTCCACCGATATATTGCGTTCTATCATCAACAAGTTGAGTTTCAAAGATGTTGTTCAAGCCAAAGATATGTGTTCTTCATGGAACTTAGTCGGAGAAGATTCGATTTCCAGGATGCCATGGCTTATGCTTCCTTCGAAGGAAGAAGTTGAAGAAGGAGATGTTGCTGATGCCGGAAACAACGGCCACAATGGGTTTTTGAATCTCGGTGAGAATAAGGTATATAGCTTGAAAACGACACCAAAGGAGTTTAGGGAAAGTTGCTGCTTCGGTTCATCACATGGATGATTGATTTTCTTGGAACAGAAGGCTATCCGGCCCGTTTCTATTCCACCCATTCAAGCAAGTTAAGATACAACTCCCTTCGGTGGATCGTCTTCTAGGTTTGAAAAAGATGGAAAGAAAAATGAATGGCTCCTATGGACTTGATTATTTCGAGGATAGTAAGCAGAAACATTGGGGATTTTGGTCCACGCGGTGTAGGAAACAAGAAGTACGAGTACGTTTTATTCAGAAAGCAATCCTGACAGGAAAACCAGATTCCAACAATGGAAACCATGGTCTTGTTCTATTGTACAACGACGGTGAAGGGATTGCATATTACGGACGTGCCGGGGACAATTTTTGGACTGTTCTCGATATTAGCCATGCACCTTACGATGACATAATCTGCCATGAAAACAATCTCTTTGCATTGGGAGACTATAACAGTATTGAAGTATGGGACTTGCAACAAGGCAGCGGCTGTATAGTTAAAAAGTCCGATATTCGTTATTCCGATTCCCGACAATTTACTTGCGGAAGAAGATTTCTTAAGTGATCTTTGCAGCAGGAGGTTTTACTTGGTCCAATCGCGTGGGGATCTTCTGTTGGTAGTGAGGTTCATTGCGGATGATGGGGATCGTGAAACTGATTACCGTATAATTTTGTTCCATGTTTACAAGCTGGATTACCATGGAAGAAAATGGGTGGAGATCGAATGTTTAGGCGATCGAGCTCTGTTTCTCGGAGGAAATCAATCGGTTTTGGTCTTGACTCGCTCTTTTCCCGACTGCGAGAAGAACTCGATTTACTTCACCGACGATAGCCGGGAGCGAGTGGAAGATGATTTCTTCTACGGTGGACATGATATGGGCATATGTAACTTGAAATACAAAAGTTTTAAGTCAATCTATGAGTTTTCTTCACACCATATTGAGCCACCACCTTGTTGGATCGTCCCACCCGCCATGCTTGAACCTTAGCAAGCTTGGCTGCAGCTATTTTAACCCCCACCTGAAGTGTTCATTTTTTGTCGTGAAGCCAACAGCTTATTGTTAATGTAAATATATTTTTATTCTATTTCTGATTTTATTATTCAATTTCCTCTCTTCTTTCCTGTTTCTTGATGTCGCTGCAATGCTATTGATAGAATAATAAGCCATATTAGCAAACAAGCATGCAAATATTAATGGAGTACTAGAAATTGTAATGAATTCAAAATACAAATATTACCTATCCGATATAAATTAGTTGAATTAAAATTATTTGAGCAGATAAATTTTTTGATGTTTTGATCTACTTTTGTTTAAGGTATATACAAGAGATCAAATTGTTAATATTTATGATTGAAATATTTTTTTTCAAATTGATGACTAAAATAAGATACTAAGAAAATAATGTTAGGAGGTTATTTTGTTCCAGCAGAAACTGGGACCAAATTAATGCTAGATGGATATGGGAAAACACTCGGAATAGGTGTGAGAAGGTTTGCTGGCACTGCCTGGTGTGGTTCTTTGGTCACATCCCAAAACTCTCACTGATTTCTTGGATGGCAATCTTGGATAGATTGCCAACAAAGGACAGACTTTCTAGGTTTGGTATTATAATGGATGGAAGCTGTGGTCTGTGTAGCTTTGGGCTTGAATCCCGTGATCATCTATTCTCTTACTGTGTTTTTGCAAGGGAAGTTTGGACTGCTATCCTTCTTGCTTGTGGTCTTACTCGAGCACCTCTTAGCTGGAGTGACTCTATTCACTGGCTGCTGCTCAACCTTAAGGGCAAATCTCTACTGGTGCACATCCTAAAGCTGGCTTGGACTAGGTTTATTTACTACATATGGGAGGAACGAAACCACAGACAATTTAGAGGTTCGCATCGTTCGGTTGGATCTGTTGTCAGTAGTATTAAAGAATCTGTTAGAATAAAATTGTATAGAAGTCATATAGATGCTATTAATAGGAAAATATATATAGATTGGGGTTTGGTGTAATGTCTTTGTGATTACGTTTTGTAGCAGTTTGTGCTGCCTTCTTTTTGGATGAATGAATTTTACTTATCCAAAAAAAATACTAAGAAAAAATGTGACCTTAGGTGTAGTTTACCCAAATATTAAAGGTTAGTCACCGTGGGAACCGAAAAGAAAAGAAAATGGCAAAAGAATACAGAAAAGTGGATTTCGTTAGAAATTAATAGCAGAAGCTCTTAATTTATTTGTTTATTCAGTTATTTTTACGGGACTCAACGGCACGAGTAAGCAGAATCCTGCAATTAAATTGCACTGAAAGTAAGGATTTCTTCTCGTGTTTCTTTCCAAATTCTAATTGTTTTTTGTGTTATTTGTTTGGATCTAAGCTTTCAGGCGTTTGTTTTCACTTTCGATCTGGCAGTTGATTGATTTATTTTTAAGCTTTTGAAGCTGTTAGTCTGGACTTATTTTTTCCCTTTTTGTTCTTTGAGATGATATCTCTGCCTTATCTTTTCACTGCTCGATTGGATCCAGTTGATTCATCGTTGTTGTCTAGTTTGATTTCCTTAAAGATTGAAATTCAATATTTTAAGTGATCGATTCGTGATTTATGGAGAATTTTGTTTGTTTATTTGAGTAAATTTGGCTGTTAATGTTTTGGTATGAAACAGTTGATGGATGTTTGCATTTGAGATGTTAGATTGGCTGTAGGAAAAGCTGAAAAAGAAGCAAATGTTGTTTTATTGTAAATGTTTTGGAAGTTTGTATATGTTTATAAGAATTGTTGCTGAAATAACTTGAGCAATGAAAACTAGGAGTTCAAGCAATGTTTAGAGGACATGACTAGGCCGAGTTATTTGCATATTTAACTCAGTCTCTTTGGTTTTTAAGTTAGCTCCCTTGTTGGCTTGCTTCTATTTCCAGGAATCTGGAATTGAGACTGTAAATGATGAGAGTTGGTGATATTCATTTTTAATGGTGAAGGTTGGAAGGAGCAAGTGATTTATTCGATTGAACAAGACAGAGATGTTCTCACTCTTTTATGGACTTTGGAAGTACATATTTAGTAAGACAGAGTTTCATGTACTGATTCTTGGAATCGACAAGTCTGGGAAAACAGTGATTACCCCGAACTCATTTCTAGGGTTTTAATAACTGTCATAGGTTTCATTTACATTGAAAAGTTTGCCAAAAGTTTCGTGCTGATCCTTTTTGTTATTTCTGAATTAGGCTTTGTTGGAGAAATTGAAAACCCTATACTCAAATTTGGAAGGCTTACCACCTGATCGGATTGTTCCGACTGTGGGATTTAACATTGGTCGAGTCGAAGTTTTAAACACAACTTGTGTTCTGGGACCTGGGAGGCCAGGTGAGTGGAATGCATATATAAAATAACACAATAGAATCTTCATTAATTATTTCATTTGTTATTGAATGCATTATGCATATATAACTCATGCTTTTATGAATGCTACTTCTGAGTTTCATCCAGTCAAAATCTTTCGGTGTTTCGCTTCAATGTATGTAGTAGAACTTTCTCGACTTTTATTGAAATGTATATAATGGAGATAGGCTAGAAATATAATGTTCAGTGTTTGATGCCAAAGCTTGGCATTTTCTTTTATATTCTATATATATTGTGTCAGGCATGATTCAATATCCAAAACAAGCTCAGTATGTGACAAAGTTATCCTCTTTCCTATATCTCCCCCAGCCTGGCCTTCGCTCAATTTGGGAGAAATACTATGAAGAGGCACATGCTTTGGTATTCATAATTGATGCTGCCTGCCCTTCTCGTTTCGAAGATTCAAAATCTGCACTTGGTAAGTAATATCTAATTGTTTAATAATATTGGGTTTCTTCTGGTATAAGGTATTGACTACAGTTTTGTGATTGGCGTATATGATAGTTTACTCATATTTTTGCTTTTTTATCCAGAGAAAGTTCTTATACACGAGGATCTGCAGGGAGCCCCTCTCTTGATATTAGCAAACAAGCAGGTATCTATAGTCCTTATATAAATCGCCAAAATACTAGCTATTTGTGCCAAAAGTTGGCTATGGAAATTCTTTCATTTTCTCTTTAAAGCTTCTATGAAACATACTTGTTTTTATCGTATATGTCTCTTTATTATCCTATAATTATGTCTGCATTTATTGCTGTATCGTGGCATTTTGGACTAGGAAATATTTGGTTCATTTGAATCTTAGTATGCGCTTGGTTGAGTAGAAAAATGGAAGAATGGATAGAGGGTAGGAAAGAGAGAAGAAATTTAATTGAGCATGCTTTGTAAGAAATAGAAATGAGAGCAAAGAAAACAGAAAGATGGTTATTTTCCTTCTTATTTACAAATCGTTCCAAGTTGTATGAAACAACGTGGTCAAGATTTTATCCCTAATCATTTGAATTCTTTTAACATCTGTAATTTAATGTAGGATCTCTCCGAAGCTGTCACAGCTGAAGAACTCGCGCGATATCTCAATCTTAAGAAATTGGATGAGAGGGTTTACATGTTTGAGGCTGTTTCTGCTTTTAATGGGTAAGTTTGAGCTCCCTGCCTGGATACAGCACAAATCTTTCACTCCACTTACATTTTAGATGTAAACATTAAGTTTTTCTTATAACTGCAGGACGGGAATCAAAGAAGGTGTGGAGTGGTTAGTGGAGGTAATGGAAAGAAGCAAGAGAACTGAAATGTTGAGAAATCGTGCAGGTGTGGACGGTCCGACTTATAGCTTTATATCAGGTTAAAATTACCCTGCTTTTGTAGCTTCTGTAAATAATTTATGGGTTCACATTAGATTCCAAATCCCCATTAAAGGTTGATATTGCAAGTCGATAACGTTGAAATGACTTATCCAATTCATCAACTAATTTAGATCGAGTATTATAGAAAACTATTATAAGGGCAGTTTTTACAACTCGGTTTATTTCGTTCACAAAGCAATAAGCATATTTTTGAACTATTGTCATTGTTTAAGAAAATGTAATGCCTCTTTGGTAGTATTGTTGTTCTCTCATAGAATTCAAAGAGTAAATAAATTCAAGATCATTCCTTGGAAGCATCATTTCTAGACAAAAAAACACCATTAACTGGACAAGTAAATTACAACCAACATGGATCAAAGTGGCAAAACGCACAGCATTTGGAAACATAGAAGCACCAAGGTCCATATTTCAACCTACTTGAATACATTCCAATATCACAACATTTGGAATTCTCAGTCTAAACTGCTTTAATTGTTCAAAAACTACTGTTAATGGATTTCATACTGATTGCTTTCGTGTCACAGCATCCGCACCAATAGCCTTTTCTTTAACTGTAAAAAAATCACACAGTGATCAATTACTTTTGTTTAAATGATCATTTTAATCATTAATTTTTAATAGTTATAAAACATCATTAAATTTATCAAATATTTATAAAACATCATTAAAGTAATAATTCAATCATATTGTATAATTTTCGAAAGTTTAATCAATTATTTAATCAATTATGATATACTTCATCCCCCCAAAAAAATTAATGCTTTATTAGGTTCTTTTTCATGGCTTTTGCTTCCACCGTGACTGTAAGCCGTGGAAAGGCTTAAAAGTTCTGAGAAATCAAGTTGGAAAAAGCTTTACCAGAAATGAGGGCCTTAGGCCTAGTCTTGAACAAAATCTTGTGGCGAATAACCCCGACAACGTCGAGCTCCGTACTCGATGAAGAAGCACCGTCATGGCCGCCGCCGTCACTCCGATCAACGTCCACGCACTTGATTTTCTTCAGCACCACTATGGGTTTCTTCAGCGCAACTTTCGACCCTATTAGTTCATGATACCCAATTGTAAATGTGTAATTCTCCTGCAGAATATTTAACAAAAAGGGGTTCGTAATTAGTACAATTACTGTAATAATTTACAGCAAAAACAGCAAAAAAAAACCTGGGAAGATGGGCGACAAAGCTGTCCGATCTGGAGATTTTGGAGAGAATCTTGGAAAGAAGGCAGCAATTCAACCACGCCTTGCAATTCGATTATTGCCCATTCTGGGCATTTCTCTGCTCCACAGCTACACTTCACCTGGATCTGCATTTTCTTTTTAATGAAGTAAAAAATGATTGAATTTCTCTCTGTGCGAGAAAAATGGAGAACATTTACCTGCGGAACTTTCAATTTATTATGTGGGGGAATTGGCGGCAACTAGCAACGTAGATTGGCGCGGGATGGTTTTATTATGTATTTAACGGGTAAAATTCCTTTTAGGTCACTTTTATTTCCGAGATCGGGTTAAATTGGTCACTCTCAACAAAAATAGAGACAACTCAGTCCCTATTATTTTCAAAAGTGAATGGTTAAGAACAATAATTACAAACTGATTGTTATTTTTTCAATTTTACATAATATTAAATGACATAATAGTAATTAACAGAAAACATTAGCATTAAGATTTGGTGTTTTCAATTGTGCACTTTTGATATTGATAGGATTATATTGCTCCGCTTCTTTTAAGGGACCTGTAATAATCATTTTTTAGAAAAATAATTAAATATTATTTAAAAATAATAATTATGACTTTTATTTGAAAATTGGTTAATTTTGGATTAATTTGGATGAAATTGGATAGGAATCTCCATCGACCTTTGAGTCAGGTAGGCTGAATACCTAAAAAGTCTTTTAAAATAATTTTAAGAAAAAAATCGTTTTTTAAGACAAAAAATGTTATGTGTTTACCAAAAATCTAATTTAACGGGTTTATGAGTCGGTTACGCATGGGGAAGGCTTAGCACCCCCACAGCACCCAAAATTGGTATTGTGTCGCTTACACGTTGTCGTAATTGTGGATATCATAAATCAAATATAAATTTAAAATATGATTCGTTTATTGAATATTGATTAATTTGTTTCGAATTGTTTATACTGTTAGGGAAAATTCTTTAACTCGAAAAGAAATCTCAAAATTAGCAATCCTATGTTGGGAAAGTTATCTCGCCTATTTCTTATCAGTAAAAAAATATTCCCTCCTCATTGATTATAAAAAAAACACGAATCAAATATAAATGGAAAATCGACATTTGCATAAAATAACATAAATTGCCATTTAGAAACATGCATTGCAACATTTGAATTAAAGCCGATTAATTAGCATGGAAAATAACTTCAATTTATTTCAAGCTCTTATTTCGTTCGAACATCGTATCGAATTGCAACACTTCGATCAAGTGATACTTTCTACGCCCCGTTCAACAAATACAACTCTTGAAAATGTTTGAATTAATTAATAAAATATTTAATCGAATATAAAAAAAAATTAGCTGACCATATTCCCATATGTAATGGGGTAAGGGGAAAAATTGGTTGACCTTATTCCCATATGTAATTGGGTAAGGGGGAGGTAGGATAATAGGCTGCCCCCAACGCCAGGTTGAGAACAGCTTCCGTGGGAGACCTCCGGCAGTCAGAATTATGAATTGCCCACTGTGGGACTCGATCCCACGACCACAAGGTTAAGAGTATTGCGAGATCACTTAATATGAATTTAATATACAAGGATAATCAATATTCAAATATACAAAAATTATGGAATACCAAGTAAATATAGTTACATGTAATATAATAATAAACATAAAAATGAATAAATAAAATATCACTTAAACGATTCAGAATACTAATAAAAAATAAAAATAAAGTAACTTAATAAGATGCTTAAATAAAAAAGGACAAAGGAATAAAGTGTTAAAAATCTTGAGCAAAATGAACTCACATAAAAATCCAGGATCCAAAATATAAACTAAGTATTTATTCCTTATAATAAAGCTTAAGGACTAAAACCTAAGTCTAACAAATTCAGGAACCTATTCATAAACATTAATAAATTTACTAACACAACCAAAGACCTAAATGAACTAAATCAATAATCAATAGGCAAAACATAACATTAAACCAAACAAATATTACAGAGCATGTGAAGACTAAAATGAAAATATTATAAATTTAGGGCTTGATGTAAAACATCATCATAAATATCAACATACAGATTAGGACGAAATGCAACAAGAAATAAACATGAAGTCCAAATAAAAAGGACATGAAAATCCATTAATAGCTAAAACAAACCTTACATATGTCTAGGGACTTAAAATGCTATTGTACCTTAAAAATTAAAAAACACGGGTGAGATTTGAAAACAATAGGGACCTAAATAGATATTAAACCAAAAATACATAACATGCATCAAAAATGGGTAAACTTAGGGGGACCTAAGTGTAATTTCCCCTAAAATTTTCTATAAATATCAACCTTTTCCCTTTTTTTTAAACAATTTTTATTTCTTTTTTTTTAAATTTTAGAGAGTGAGGGTTTGACCTCTCTCTAGAATTTCGACGGGTTGCCGTCGGTCGTCGCGCCGCTGGTGGTCGTTGACCACTAAATTTCACAAAAAGGTTTGCCTTGACCTCCTCATCCCCGATCTGACCTCCATTTCGTGAGAATCGACACCGCTTGTCGCAAAAAGGTCAAAAATCGTTCGACTTTCCTCTTTCCGGTCTGCCGCCGTCCGATCGACCTGATTTTTCAATATATTGTTCGTGGTGGTGTACTTTACCTTCTCACTGTCCGAATTCACGAACAGATTCCTCTAACGCCGTGAGCATCGCCGGCCGAACAGTAATATTCCTTTCACTCTTTTGTTTGTATTTTTTCGGTTTATTGGGCATTCGTTCAAAATTATAAAAAATGCATAAATATATATATATATATATATATATATATATGTATATATAGTTTGATATTGATAAAAAAATGAGAGAAAAAAACTTGTTGCTTCATTGCTCGAAAAAAAGTTGGGAAAGAACCTTTATTACACTCTATTTTTCGAACCCAAAGGCCTCTCCCATTACATTGTTTTCGAAAAACCTGACCCCTACCGTTGTTATTGGAAAATAAACCTAAAAGGGGAACCCCTTTTACATTGTTTTAACCCCATTTTTATCCGATTTCCATTAGGCATTAGTTGAAAAAAAAATTTTGACTTTTTGGTATTGGTGATGAGATGATGGCTGTGTTGCAGGGGATGGGCTGCTGGCAGGGCAGGGTGGTGGCGTGTTCAGTTGGTGGTGTGTTGCTGCTTCACGTGGGCATGGCAGGGTAGTTGGTGGCCAACCGAGTTGAAGGAGTCTAACCGGGTCAACTGGATAGGCTTGTATCTGGGTCGGCCTGTAAAATTTGTAATTAAATTTGATTAATAATAATAATAATAATAATAAAATATTTTTGTAGACCCGAAAAAAAACGGGTGTCTACAGCTGCCCTTCTTTACACATTCTTGTGTTAACAAGAATAGGGCAAAGACGAAAAAGACAACCAATTTTTGTCCAGTTCTATTTTTTTGGTTTTGGAAACTTGATATGTTTGTTGTTGGGGATGACACTGCTCATACGTAATGAAGAGTTTTGGTCGTCTAAGGGTGACACGTCTCCTACGCGATGAGGAGATCTGGTCAGGGGATGACATGGTTCCTACGCGATGAGGATGACATGCCATCTTTAGGGAGGGTGATAACACGGTTCCTACGCGATAAGGATGACTGATTATCTAGGGGTGAAACGGCTCCTAAGTGATGAGAAGGTCTGGTCAGGGGATGACACAGTTCCTACGTGATGAGGATGACATGCCATCTTTAGGGATGATAACATTGTTCCTACGTGATGAGGACGACTGTTTATCTAGGGGTGACACGACTCCTACGTGGTGAGGAGGTCTGGTCGGGGGATGGCATGGTTCATACGTGAAAAAGACGATAATCCATCTTGTTGAAAACATTTTGATGTTTCAATATAACAAATTAAATTAAAAGAATTTTAATTTTGAAAATGATTTTTCTAAGCATATTCGATATATTAAATCGAATATCAAAATATTACTCAAAGTATTTCAAAGTTCATTTTAAATCCTTACTCAAGTGTAAAATTAAGTTTTAATCTTAAAAATAATTTCAAAACGATTTTACAAAATATTTCGAACCATTTCAAAGCCAAAAATTCCAGATTGCTCAGAGGGAACCGATTCCCCCCCAAGGGGGTACCGATTCCCCCTGAATGGTTTGGCTCCGAGAATTCCAATATGCTCGGAGGTAACCGATTCCCCCCACTGTTCAACGATCGAAATATTTGAATTTTACACTTAGGGAACCGATTACCCATCAGGGGTACCGATTCCCCCCACGCTCCAAGCAGAAATATTTATTGTTTTCACACTTAAACGGCTACAATAACTTCATTAATGATCCCCAACGTTCAGAAGTGATTCAAGGTGTATTTAAGCAAGCTTAAAAGCCATTGATCAACAACAAGAAATATCAAGCAACTAGAATCAAGAGAGAATCAAAGAGAAAGCATCAAACCTCAAGTTTGAGCATTTCAAGCCTATTTTTCATTCAATATTTATTTTGCTTTCAAAAACACTTATTGTGCTCAATCGTATTTATTCTTGAGTGTTCTTTCTTTGTTCTAGAATTGTGCAAACATATTTGCCTTGTGAGGTTTTTCTTGTAAGTTTGCAAATTTGTAATCTTCTCTTTGAGAAAAGAGTGTTCTCAAGAATTGGGATATATTCTTGAGGGAGTTGTAAGGTTATCTCTTTGGCCTTAAAAGAAAGAACAAATTAGTGAATTTGTTGGAAAATCCTTAGTGTGGATAGCTAAGGTAGTGGACGTAGACTTTGGTTGATAAAGTCGAACCACTCTAAATCACTGTGCAATTACTTTCAATTTTCTGCAAAAGCTTCCACAAATTTTTTAATTGCCAATTTACCCCCCTCTTGGTCGATTCCGTAGATCGATTAACTCAACAATTGGCATCAGAGCCTAACTCATTTGAAGGTTTAATCGCCTCTTGAGTCGATTCGGGAAGAGTTACATCGATAATCAAAGTCATCAATGGCCTCTACTTTAAACTTCGACTCCGTTCTCGATTCGATGCCCGTCAACAAGCATCCTTTCTTTAATGGGGCTAACTATGCCTATTGGAAAAATAGGATGATGTACTTCATTCAAGCAAGTGACATGGGAGTATGGAATGTCGTAGAAGAATGATACATCAAGCCTCTCACTCATCCAAGATTGTGGAGTGAGGAAGAGACAAAAATGTTCCAGCTCAACTCCAAA